CCCTTTGGGGTGAATGGCCCAAATCCTTTTATCAGGTTTCGAGGGGTCCAACCAAACCTTATCAAGGAGAAATAGAAGAGTAGACAAACACTCAATTTCCTCATCCCTTAATCCTCTACGGAAACCAAAATCCCAAGACAAAGTTGGTAAGGATAACCAAAATCCCAAAAACTCTATTTCTGAATATTCTCGATGCCAAGTCCATCAAACCTCTTATTTTTACACAAAATCCCATTTAACCCTATGATCCTTCTTTCTTACCTTCCCCTGGCTCCCACTAGAAACCCATCATCATCTTCTCCAACCTCTGAATCAAACTTCCAAGGGCCTTGAAAACTGACAGAAAGTTAACTAGAATAGATCTGATTAACGTAATCCTGCTACCTAAACTGACATAAAATGTTACATACCTGTAAATGATAATAAAAAACCTCTCTTCTTCTACTTCATTTTTTTATTAATTTTATTGATTATATAAATGAATGAATTCATGTACAAAGTCTGACACAAAGAAACCCCAACTTAGGCTGCCAACTGGCTACCTAATTGATGGGGATCAGTCTAGGCCTTATAAGACCTATTTTTGTAGGAAGAAGGCCAACAAACAGGTTATGATTTGTTGTGGGAAAGATTCTTGGGAATTGGACTGCTCTGGTCAGGGGAATTTTTGTCATTTTGACCAGTTCTATATGAGCCTAATCCATGGTATCCTGTTCTTATAGTTTAGTAGGGTTTATCTTTAAGTTTTCAGTTTAATTGCTTTAGTAGGTGGAGAGCAATTGAGTTTCTTGTTTCACAACATAGGGAGTAGAATTCGGTATTTCAAATGAACAGTATTTGGGGCTACACAACTCACTCTATAAATAGTTGTAATATCTTCCTTATGAAGGTAATGAAGGTTTCTCTAGAGTTATTTTACTACTTTGTTGTATAGATTATAGAGTGATTCCTACAAACCCTAGTGTGGTTCCTTAGGGTCTCTCTCTCTCTCTCTCTCTCTCTCTCTCTCTCTCTCGCTCGCTCGCTCGCTCTGTGTACTATTTTCCTCTCTCTATACTTATTTCTCAGGTTACAACACATCTGGTAGTAGCCTGCAAGCTCCAAGGTTTAAAATGTCGATGTTGGTGGAAATGTCGGTCATCCTAATATAAGAAACATGTCAGAAATATTGTAAAAATTATAGACATGGTGGAAAGATTGTAAAATATGCAAACTATAGAATGATATTTTATGAAATGACAAAAGAAGCATAGGCACATCTTTTAAATTTATTATCTTGTTCCAAATTATGAAACAAAACTAAGAAACTATGGTTATAGACAAAAGAATATGTTTTGAAGTTGCCCTGTAAACCTTAAGCTTTAGAACTTCATGATAGAATTAGCTAAAGCAAAATTTAAACTCATAGGAAATGTAAATGGTTGTGATAAATCAACCAAATAATCTACTACAGAAACAAAAACTATTATTTAACTTCATGTTTGAAATGAATATTGAGCTAGCTCAAAGTTGTAATCATGTAAGTTAGGTGGACAATAGCCTGTTACTTCACATATCTACAATATTGTCTCCAACTTATGTTATAACGCTATCTCTTGTACTCCACATAGTACTGGTAGTGTTCATTAGGGAATATGTCAATTCTAGTAAAATTTCATGTTGCTACCCATGGAAGTGAAAATGGAAATATGTGGTGGATACTCTCTCTTGTACTCCACGTAGGTCTGGTAGTGTTCATTGGGGAAATGTTGATTCCAGTAAAATTTCGTATCGCTACCCATGGAATGAAAATACGTCGTGGAAATATTAGGGAAATTAGGGACATTTTAAACCATGGCAAGCTCTATCTGTAGATATTGAGGGTTGGAACAAGAGTGGTTCTATCCTGTATCAGCTTATTCTAGCCCTGCACTGCAGCTGCATCACTAACCCATCCTCTCTCTCTCTCTCTCATTCAATTTAACAGGGGCTCCAACCCTTTGCTTGTTTCTTCTAATTTTCCATTTCCCGATTTATACAAATAGAAATATTCTTAGTTTCTTACTAATCTAAAAACAATAAAAACCCTTTGCTTGTTTTCTTATTGCTACTTAAACTTGAAGAATGAGGCAGGTCAGAACAACTAGGGAAACAAGCTATAATTATCAATTTTTTTTTAATCCAAAAATTGTGTGGGGAACACCTAGATGGGCACCTAGTTGCCTAGGCTAAAGGGAATTGTGCATGCCTGTTGTCTGGACTAGTTGTAGCCCTTCGAACCTAGGGCATTGGTGATCTAGTTTAAATTGTTGTGGAATAAAACTGAATGCAATAGGGGTCATTGCTTGGTGCAATGGTAAAATCTCAGGCTGACAATTGTGAGCACGAGTTTGAGAGAGTGGCCACTTCATGCAAAAAAAAAAAGTGCCAAAGGTCAGTCCATATATAGCCACCCCTCCCAAGACCCTGGTAGTGGGAACAAACATGGGTGTTGGCCCTATAAAACTGAATGTGTATTCCTCGTGCATATATTCTCTTTTTCAGCATAACTTTGACTACATCTATGGTTCCCACGCTCAACATTTGTTTTTTGCTTGGTAGGTTTTGGCTTCTGAGGATGATCAGGATGCATTGTCAACAGATCCTGATGAACTTATTGATTCCGAGGACAGTGAAGGGATAAGCGGAGATGAAGAAGACATATTCAGGAACCTTCTTGCAAGAGCTGGATTTCACCTTACTTATGGAGATAATCCTTCACAGCCACAGGTTACTTTAAGGGAAAAGCTTCTGATGGATGCAGGTGCAATAGCTGGTTTTCTTACTGGGCTTCGTGTTTATCTTGATGACCCAGCTAAAGTAAAGCGCTTGCTTCTCCCAACCAAACTTAGTAGTAACGACGGGAAGAAGGAGGTCACACGAACCGATGAATCTTCCCCCAGTCTGATGAATTTGTTAATGGGAGTTAAAGTCTTGCAGCAGGCTATCATTGACTTACTTTTAGATATAATGGTTGAGTGCTGCCAACCTTCAGAAGGAAGATCCGGTGATGATTCTTCTGATACAAGCTCAAAACTTTCTCCAGATAACAATGGAGCCATCAGTCCACTGGAATCTGGTACAGAAAATGGGGTTGCAGAATTTGTACAATCCCCTCTAAATGAGAGACTGGATTCCGGGGCAGAAAGTACTAATACATATGCTGTACAAAGTTCGGATATGAATAAAAATAACATGCCTGAAAAGGCAGTTCCTGGGGAGCCTATTTCTCCTCCAGAGACAACTGCAGGAGGTCTTTCTGTGGACAATGGTTTCATCCGATCTCCCAAGGTACACTTTTTTTAGTTTAACTGTTTGGATGCCTTGGGAAATGAAATGCTTTTATTTTTCTTCTCTCCATCTCTTGGCATAAAAGATATAACCACAATGCCCTCATCCAAAATGGTTGTTTCCTGTTGTTAGAAGGGAAGGAAATGAGTTTATTCCTTGAAATCCTGAATTAATCTCGTTTCTTTCTCTGCAACCTGAATTGGCTTCATTTCTTATGGTGAATTTGTACTCTCAAATGCATCAGATGGGTATAATAAAATCATTTTGTTCTAGTTCCACTCTGAGATGCTGTCAATACATGGTTTATGAGCAAAAATTACATGTACTTAACAGGTTGAGCAAATTTCTTTTCAGACAAAGTGGCCAGAACAGTCAGAAGAGCTTTTGGGATTAATTGTTAATTCATTGAGAGCCCTTGATGGTGCTGTTCCACAAGGTTGTCCGGAGCCTAGGAGAAGGCCTCAGTCTGCACAAAAGATTGCTCTTGTATTGGATAAAGCTCCTAAACATCTGCAACCGGATCTTGTTGCCTTGGTGCCCAAATTGGTTGACCATTCAGAGCATCCACTTGCCGCTTGTGCACTTCTAGATCGACTTCAAAAGCCAGATGCTGAACCTGCACTCCGATTGCCTGTGAGTATTATTTTTTTATTGTCCTGTTGTCCTTTTTGGGATGTGATGTTAAGTTATTGTAATATGGACTATAAACATTTAGCAATATCATTCTTGATCTCATATTATTTATTTTATGTCTCTTGTTTTTTAGTCAGTTTTAGTTTTTTGCTGCCTCTGTAGATCAATTGCAAATTCTTTTTTTTTGTCCTTTCAGGTTTTGGGAGCTCTTAGTCAATTGGAGTTTGGTAGTGAAGTGTGGGAACGTGTCCTATTTCAAGCTTTCAGACTATTGACAGATTCAAATGATGAACCACTTGCAGCAACTATTAGTTTTATACTGAAAGCAGCATCCCAGTGTCAGCATATTCCTCAAGCTGTATGAATGCAGACACCTCAGTAATCTTTAATTGGATGTTTCCTTTTGAATTGTTTTATAAGGTATCATACTATCATTCTAAATGTTCTGCCTTCCTATGTTTTAAACTTATTTTGTTCTTGTAGGTAAGAGCTATTCGCACCCAGCTTAAAAGTTTAGGGGCTGAAGTTTCATATTGTGTCCTGGATGTTTTAACCAAAACTGTGAATGGCTGGGTTGATGTTGCTGAAGCAATGTTGAGAGATATTGACTCTGACAGTGAGCTTGATGGCAATTGCTTGACAACACCTTGTGGGCTTTTCATGTATGATGAAAACAGACTCACTGCTGAAAAGTTGCATGCAGTAGATGAGCAGGTTCTATGTTTGGGCCGTTGTTTTTCTGATATCTATATTCTAATAGAGATGTTATCCATACCATGTATTGCTGTTGAGGCATCCCAAGTTTTTGAAAGAGCTGTAGCTCGAGGAGCCATTGTGGATCAATCAGTAGCCATTGTCTTGGAAAGGCGCCATGCTCAAAGAGCTGGTATTAATTCAAGATCCATGGCTGAGAATTTTTTACACAAAGACACTGTTGTGGAGGGAAAAACTGATGAATCATTGCAGAGCCAAGAAGATGATTTTGCTTCTGTTCTTGGTCTTGCTGAAACAATGGCTCTCTCTAGAGACCCCAGAGTGCAAGGATTTGTGAGGATGCTATATGCTATATTATTTAAATTTTATGCTGATGAGGGTTATCGTGGGAGGATGTTGAAAGGACTTGTTGACCATGCTACCAGCAGTACAGATAATTGTCGTGAAGTAGATTTAGATCTGGATATTTTGGTTTTCTTGGTCCGTGAAGAACAAGGGATTGTCAAGCCAGTTCTGAGCATGCTACGGGAAGTTGCTGAACTTGCCAATGTTGATCGTGCAGCTCTCTGGCATCAGTTATGTGCTAGTGAAGATGAAAATATTCGTGCTCGTGAGGCAAGACAAACTGAGCTTTCCAATATGAGTAAAGAGAAAGCTATCCTATCACAGAGGCTTAGTGAATCTGAGGCAACCACTAACCGTCTCAAGGTACCTGATTTCTTGTCTGGACAGGTTATATGGATGATAAAATGCCATCATATGTTGCTGGTCTCATGGAGGTTAATAAAGGTAGTGTTTTTGATAAAAATTGCAGGCTGAGATGAAAGCCGAAATGGACCGCTTTGCACGGGAAAGGAAGGAGCTTTCTGAACAGATACAAGATGTTGAGAGCCAACTTGAATGGCTTCGTGCAGAACGAGATGATGAAGTTGCAAAGCTCTTGGCTGAGAAAAAAGCTCTTCAGGATCGTCTTCATGAAGCAGAGACACAACTTTCACAGTTAAAATCTCGGAAACGTGATGAGTTGAAGGTAAACTATACCCCTTGAAGTTTCAAGAAATTTTCTGCAGGTTTCAAGTTAATAAATTTTTGGTATTGAGTGCTTTTGGAACATAATATAAAATCTATCGTTTCTTTGAGAATTCAACTTTGAAATGATTTTGCATGATTTTTTGTGGTTCAGTAGTGACAGATTCTTTCATTGATATTGAATTGGGAGTACCCCTGAACATTAGTCACCACATGCATTATACATCAAACTATCACTACATTTACTAGGCACCAATGTAGTTTGATTGCTTATTAATTGGTGTTTAAGGTATAGGGTGTGGTTAAAGATTATGGGAAGTATCAGGATTGACTGCACAGAAGTTGAAGTTGAGGGGAACTGCCAAGTGGTGATAAACTGGTTGAAATATGGTGACATATAATGACTTATAAAAAAAAATGGTAAGGTGTAATGGGCCTTTTGATTTTTGCTAAGACATGCAAGAGCACTGGCTTTCAATCTGAACTGCTTGTTCAGGTGTGTGCCAATATAATTAAACATCATTGCCGATTCTATTCATTAAAAAAAAAAAACATCATTGCTGATTCTCTAGCAAGGTCAGGGGTATCAAGGGAAAGTCTATTTTGGGTGAACCAGGGCTGGGGGGGGGGGTTGCAAATCTTTAAACTACAGCATAGATTGAGTAGGTCAGCTAGGTCTATGGTTTGTAAGTTGTATGAGATCCATTTGTACAGCTAACTTGTTCTATCATTAGTAAAACTTGGCGTGCTGTTACATGTCAAAAGGGTCCACTAAAATAACTAATTAACGAGTTCAACTGGATACAAAAACAGAAATATCCTGTTTTGTCTGCTTAGGATACATGACATATCACATATAACCATGCAGATGGCTTCTGTTATAATATCTCTAATTTTTTTTTTGTGAAAATTTGGCATTGTTATAGTTTAAAATATCATTTTTTTTTTCTGTGATGTTTTATCATAATATTGATATATTGAAATATTAGAATTGCCTCTGATCTTTCCGATCTTTGTTGCACTTTAGATAGTTCTAGGTAGCTATTTCTTTCTTTTGTTTTCTTTTGAAGAAGTATTTTATTGTATTTTTTTTATCAAAGTATTTTATTATATTCCTTTTGGTCAAAAATATAAGCACATGTACATCAAAGTACTTTACATTGGGAATTTACAATAGTCGGTATTAATTACTTTTGTTGTTCACAAAAAGAGTATCTATATCAATAAAAAGTAAAAGAAAAAGAAAAGAATTGTAAGGAACTCCCTGAAAGGGCTTTTGGATCACTATTTATGTGCCAGAGGGTGCCCTTCAATCTCCTTTGTACTGCATTTTCTGGACTTGCTTCATTCTCAAAGATTCACGCATTCCTTTCTCTAGATATAGCCCATATTAATGCAGAACAGATTACCTTACTGGCTTGCTCCTTTTACTTAGCCTCTTTACATATCAACCACAGAACAATGACAGAACTGATATGGGGAACAGCTTTTCTCTCCAAAACATTGTAAGACCGATGCCCACAACTAATAGCTATTTCTGAATCCCATTAAATGGGAAACATTGTTTGAAATACTGAAAAACTTAGGATAAATTGCAAATCATGAGTTCTACAACTCTATTAAGATTCTTTTATTTATTGGGTTCCATATTGATATTTCATTCTGCCACCAAATTGGTGAAAGAGATGGGGGCCATGTCACTGTAAGCCCAGTATCCCTAAGTAGAGCAGGGCCCTTAGATTGTGGTGGGCCTGGTGGCCACTTTTTTGTGACCATAATGAGAGGATTAGTTTTGGTTCTGGGACTTATCAGAGAGAATATTCCCCGTACTAGAGGTGTTTGATATGCTTTCTGATTTGAGGCTTCTATGGCTATTGTATGGGAAGGGAAGTCCTGGAACAGAATTAGTTGGAAATGGGATTAGAGTTTGGGCTTTAGTGGTTTTCTTATGCCAGTAGTAAAATTTGTTCTTTGTGATTATGCCTAGTTCAATGTGTGACTAGAAGTGTGAAGCAAAAGGCTAGGTTACAAGTGTTTCTTTTTTTTTTGATCAATAACAAGAAACTTTATTAATGAAATAGATGGAGCGTTAGTGTTTTTATCCTTGAAATTATGGATTGGGAATGTGGGTGAGGTCTATTATTTTTTCTTGTCATTGTTAACAGTCATTGAGGGTGACCAGGGTTCAAATCTTGGAAACAGCCTCTGTGTATCTGCAGGGGTGAGGCTGCATCTCTCCCTCTCACAGCCGCATTGGTGGGAGCCTCGTGCACTGGAATGCCCTTTTTGTTGACATTCATTTTTTCAAGGCCAACTTTTCCCAAGTCCCTTATCTTTGTTGTAAAGAATTGATAGGTTGGAAATTTTGGCATGGAATGCTAAACAAAGCTTAAAAAAATGCTAAGCAAAGCTTATGGCATTACTTACAGGAGTTGAGCTTGTCAAGCAGCAGTTGTTCTAACTCCATTGCCATATAACATGACCTTCAAACAAGGTGAGGCAGAATGGTTTGCATGGTGCCATGCGGACTAGCTTATTTTCTCAATGAGGTAAGCAAAACATGGAGATTAGACCTGGCAAAAAGTTGACCCAACCTGCGAACCCGACCAACTCAACCCGAAAAAACAGGGTTAGGGTCTCATATTTAGCCACCTGAATTTGAGAATGATCAGACCCAACCCGACCCGGGTTGGGTTGGGTCATGGGTCAACCCACTGACCCGATTGTTAGGTCTAATTGGGACTATTTATGCATTCTTAGAAGCTTTCTCTCTCATTTTTACTATTTAGTCTTTACTCTATCATTTACTCTTTGAATTGTAGAATGTTCAAATTTTTTTATTTTATGTTTGGGATTTTAAGGTTAATTCCTTTAATTTTGACATTTTCATGTATTTTTTCTTTATTTTATAAGATTTCTTTTATTTTTAGGGATGACCCGAATTGACCCGTGGGTCAATCCTAACCTGAACATTTAGGGTTAGGGTCTAGCATTTGCCAACTCAACCTGAAATTCATCCTGATTCCTGACCCAAACCCGACCCACCCAACCCAATTGCCAGGTCTAATGGAGATCATTTCAGCCCATTTGAGATGGATTCTGACAGAACAAATTGCAAAAACTGATGAGTTCCCTAAATCAGGGATTCAGAGGGCTTTTTAGTATGATTACAGTGCATTCCTTAACTAAATTTTGAGGATGGCTGCCTTCCATATATATTTTTTTGGTATAGACTTGTATATCTTCTTATACTCACCTGTTTTGATGCAAGACCATAAAAATGGCTCTCTTTCCTCAAGAAAATATGGCATGGAATGAGGTAGGTTAGTAACAAGCAAAAATTGTCACCTGAAAGATTTATGAGGGAATTCTCCAGTAGAAGAAGCTTGTGTATAACTCCATACCCTTTCTCCTTTAAGTGGGCAATACTACTGGTGACAGAGGGTTTGTGTTTGGAAGGTGGTTAATGTTAATGGCTTCATGCCCATTAACAGTTATACGATTTCAAAATTAACTTGATCCAATCACTCTACTAAGAAAGGCACCTAACTACCTACCTCGTTTCACAAATGACGAATCAAGCTAAACAAAATGTGGATAGTGCTAGCAATAACTCCAATTTGTCCTCCTGTTTTCTTCTTCTACTCAAGAGAGGGTAGTGAAGTTAAACTTTGATGGCAGTGCTTTAGGAAATCTAAGTGATGCTAATATTGGAAGTGTGATCGGGGGAAGGATGGTACTGTTTGCTGGATCTTCAGTGGCCCAATTGGGACAGCTAACTCTACAAAGGCTGAGGTGATGGCAATTCTTATGGATATTTGAATTACTAAAGGCTTGGGCCTTATGAGTGTAACTAATGAAGGTGATTCTGTGAATACAATCAAATGGTTAAGGGAGAAGGATGGTGGTCCTTGGAGGTTGGCTCACACCTGGCCATGGCTAGAGATTTATTGAGCCTCATGGATGTAAAACTCACCTGGCTTCCAAGAGAGCAGAGCAGAATTGCAGATAGCCTTGCAAAGTATGGGATTAACAGGGAAAATCTTTACGGTGATAATACCCTTCCCTTGTAACTGAAGTGTGTCTTCTTTATCTTCTGCATTGTACATCTCCTCGTGTACTCTTTTCGGTTTAATGAATCCAGTTATCTTTTCTCGAAAACAACTCCAATTGGAATTTGGTAGGTGGTTAATGTAGGTGAAAAGGGTTTATTTATTTATTTGATAATTAGGTTGGACCATAGGATTAAACTAATGTGAATTCAGGTTTTAAAGGAGCTAGGGGAAGCTCAACATGAAATGGGCTGAAGTACTAGGGAAAGAGCTGAGAACTCTCAATTTAGTAGAAGATATGACCCTTGATAGGGTGAAATGCTGATATAGGGTTTGAATAGATAGTTGGGTTAAGGCTTAGTTAAGTTGAAGTCGGATCAATGTTTAGAAATATACTTGAATTTTGGGAAGGTGAAGAGATTGACTTTGTACTTTGATCTTTGGAATGGCCTCAGTTCTTGTGTCTAGCACTGAATGTTTGAGATGACCGGCAGAGGCTACCTGATGCAATATTGCCAAGCACTCTATGCTAAACAGAGTGACCTCACTATTTAGTTCTCATGAATTAAAGAAAGTCCATAAGTGTTATTGATTAAAAAAGAAAAAATTAAAGGAAGTCCATTAGAAGAGCCTTGAACAGAAAGTAAAGAAGATATATTGACTGTAACAACCCATTGGCTTTGCTGATAAAAAATAAACATCGACCTTGGGCCTCGTGCTTGTTTTCATCTTCTTAATCTCAATTTATTTACTACGACACTACCCATCTATCCATTTTCCCATTCCCTCTGACTTGCTCAATGGTGAGAAAATCATCATCATCATCATCATATAAGCTTTGTCCCAACTATATGCGATCAGTTACATTGGTCCTGTTTTTCCATTTTGTTTTGTTGATAGGGCCTAATTTGCTCTTTAAATTTGAAATTGTTGCCTTCTCATTAGACAGGAAAAACATGAGTTTTGAGCAGAATCTTGCAGATTACACCAATTAAAACTAATTACTTTGTACCTTGGAATCTATACTGCATTTCACATCAATTCAGTGGAAAATTATCACTCTGCTCATCATTTACTGTAGCAAATTCTACATAATTTATATTTAATATTTAGTCATCTTTGGCTCTTTTTCCTTAAAATGATATGATTGGTGGCTTATTTGTTCCAGATGTTTTTTTAATCAGCATTCAGTTATCTATTGTAGATTATGTTTATGAACTTTTGCTGTTAGTTTCCCTGGTAAATGACTTAATTCTACTGCGTAGCTATTAATTCTAGATTCCTGCCATTTTACTGTCGATTGAATTCATGTCATTACTGAATACAATCTTCTATGTTACAGAGAGTGGTGAAGGAGAAAAATGCTCTTGCTGAAAGGTTGAAGAGTGCAGAAGCAGCACGGAAAAGATTTGATGAAGAATTGAAACGTTATGCCACAGAGACCGTAACTAGAGAAGAAGTTCGACAGTCACTCGAGGATGAGGTCCGAAGGTTGACTCAAACAGTTGGACAAACTGAAGGAGAAAAGAGAGAGAAGGAAGAACAGGTTGCTCGATGTGAAGCATATATTGATGGGATGGAAGCAAAATTACAAACTTGCCAGGTATTGCTTTGTTTGATTTGAAGCTATCAAATCTAACCATTGGGCAGCTACATACACAATCAAGTTTGTTGCGAGTGTGACTATTTTTTTTATTTTTTTTTTTTTGATCAGCAAAATGAGAATTTTATTCAATTAAGAGAATTAAATACAGAATTACAGCAATTAGAAAGCAGACATTGCACCAGAAATTGTTACAATAAATCCCAAAAAAATCTGCTGCCTTTGAACTCCCTGTTTGGCTAGAAAGTTGGCCATTGCCGGTGCAATTCCCCTGATCCATGTGAGCGTGGCATTAAGTTCCCTTGCTATGGTTACTATCTCCCTTAACGGATGTCTATGGATCCAAGTAACATTACCACTTGAATTGGTCCGACATATCACTATTTTTCAGTCCCCTTCTATCTCCAAGTTCTTAAGACCTGCTTGCTTGGCAAGTTTTAACACTTATAGCAGAGCTAATAGTTCAGCTTTTAAAGAATCACCTTCCCTTAAAGGTCCTGAGTACATAGCCAATGCTTTGCTTGAGGAGTCTCTAATCACACCACCAATGCCTGCCATACTCAGGTTTCCTATAGAGTGCCCATCAAAGTTCAGGTTAATCTTGTTGGGACCTGGGGGCTTCCACTCCATCACCTTTCTTTCTTTCTTCTCAGTAATGTGTGCCACTTCATTCCATGCTCTTACTATATCAGAAATTGAGAAATTTTGAAAGACCTGGAGTGATTTCACCCAATGTGCAATATTTATCTTTATGGCCTCCACTAGATCTTCTTTTCACCTATACTTCTCATTGAATATTCTTGCATTCCTTTCCTCCCATATTTCCACACCATCACTGCCCTTACTGATTTCAACATAACCCTTCCTCTTTTTGTTGGCTGCCTTAGAAAGTTTGGATCAAAGAGGCTGTCTACATCCTAGGGAGTACTCCACCTGCAACTAAAGAGAGAGCAAAAGGATTTCCAAACAAAAAAAAAAACACAAAAGGCCAATGGATCAATAAATGGGGTAGGGATTCACCATCTGCACAGCAAAGAGTGAACATATGAGGGGAGAGGCATTTATTTGGCCTCCTTTTTTGAAGCATGTCACAGGTGTTCACCTTCCCAAGAAACACCTCCCAACATAGAACTTGAATTTTTGGTGGAATGGGCTTGCTCCAAACCTCTTTCATCGGGAAATTCTCATCCCCAATGGCCCAATAGGAGTTTGTACAAGGGTATTGAAGAAAGAAGCACAGGTAAAGGTGCCATCAGAAAGATCAGACCATACTCTAGTGTCCTCCAAAGATTGAACCAAGAAAGCAGACTTAAGGGCATCAAGCAAACAAATAAGAGACTAACATTCATTATCCCTCAAACCCCTTCTGAAACCAAAATTCCAACTCAATCAAGAGTGAGAAAAGGTGAAGAAATTTGAAATGGGTTGTAACTTGTAGTTAGAAACTGAATAAAGAACAGTAAAAGGGAGCAAAAGGAGTATCACCCAACCAAAGAACTTCCAAAAAAGTACCCTAGAACCACAACCCATGTCGAATCTGATGAGATAAAAAAAGATAGGAATAGGATATACCTCTTGTATTGCTTTCCACGGAGAGCTTGAGGAAGATGTGGAGGCTATCTTTGCTTCCCAACCATTGTTCATCAGCCCGTGAATGCTTTTCTATCACCTTATCCCACTTTACTAATATAGTTACATTTTGGACATTAAAAGCCTAGACTTTGTAAATAGGGATGGTTAGATGTGAAATAACTCTTATGTAATAGAACTTGCATATGGTTGTCAGTTTAGCCAACTGGCAATTATATACCTGATCGACTTTGGTGTGACTATTGTTAACAAATATAGTTATTATAATTTGGACTTTGAAAGCCTATGCTCATTGTAAATGGGGATTGTTAGATGCAAAATAACTTGTATGTAATAGATTTATCAAAAAAAAAAAAAAAAAACTTGTATGTAATAGATAGTGGTTTCTCCTCGCATATGTACCTAAATCTAGGTCTGTCAACAGACTCTGAAAATCTAATACCCAATTCGAGTCCTAATCCAATTATCCTGGTTCTGGATGTTAAAACTTGCATCCAATTAATAATCAGATCTGATGGGATTCAACCCTAGTCAATCAGATTAAAAATTGAGTCCAATAAAAAAGTATTATTTTACATATATATGTAGTATAATTGTGTGTGTAGGTAGATAGATAGATGGATAGATATAATTATGTTTGATATCGGATTGAGTGCGGATGTAGATGGTTCAATCTGATTACAACCCTACCTAAATCATATCCAGTTATTATTTGAGGAGATTTGTTTCTTTATTTTATTTATATCCATGTGGCTTTGTAATTTGTTTTTTTATTGATTGTAGCCTAAGGCTTTAATTCTGAACATTCTGTATGTTGCAAACCTAGTAGGACTTTCAATTGGTAATTGGACCTTTGTGTTCCTTTTCATATATTGTTTTTACATTTGGTTTGTAGGCTTTTGATTTTTATCTAGGGATGGTAATTTCTGACCTGATCTTCATAACCCACTCTAGTGACCCTCTTATAACCCACTGACATTGGCTCATCTAGGTTGGCATGTTCCATCTCATATATTATTTATTACATTTGGCTTGTAGGCTTTTGACTTTTATCTAGGGACGGCAATTTCCAACCTGATCTACATAACCTACTCTGGTGACCCTCTTATAACCCATTGAAATTGATTCATCTACTTGGCAGGTTCCATCTCATATATTGTTTTTACATACATTTGGGTTGTAGGCTTTTGACTTTTATCTAGTGATTGCAATATTCTAACTGATCACATAACACACTTTAGTGACCCTCAACACATCTAAATTGACTCATCTACTTGTCAGGTTGTATATGGGTTGAGCTTAGGTGTGTATTGGGTCGGGTAGTGTGCCCCCAAATCCCCCACCCCCTTAATGTGGTTGGGTTAGGTTAGATTGCAACCCATTAGGCCATCTGTACAAATGAGTATGGCTGGTTAGTGGGTCAGTTGGTCTTCAAACTGCAGCCAACTGAACCAATTGCTACTCCTTTAATCTACTCATTCCTGATGTCATGGGCACTCACGAGTGTGTGGTGTTGCCCAGCAAAAAAAATGTGAAATGTGTAATGTTTTGGTCTATATTGCAACTATAGCCCCAAAATCGAAAGATTTTATTCTATTTCCCTGGAAACCTCAACTTTCCTTGCCTGCAATTTACAGGGGAATGATATGGTTCTTAGCAATGTTATGTGGACAGGTACACGGAAATCTGAATCCAACATGTAGGATGTAGCTGGGATTCTGACTTGGCAAGACAAAGAAACAAAGACTCATGGACATGTCTGTAGAAAAGCATATACTATTAAAATAGTCCATATTTTGTTGAATTTCAACATTATAAACTTATAGAAAAAGGTCTAAAAGATAATCTTTATTACTCAAAAACATTTTATATGAAAAATGACATTTATTGTGTACATTTATGTCAAATAAGCAAGGGGGAAAAAAAAAGAAAAATGTCATATAGAAGTGTCCTTCAAGGCTTCAAGTGTCCATTTAGTGTTGGAGTCTGGCACATGTCTAACACAGACACTTGTCCATTTAGGAACTTAGGAGAGTCCATGCAGCACTGGTTGAGTATGCATTATCTAGGGCTTTGATGTAAGATTTCCTACACATTTGTTGACAAATGTGTCATCTTAATTTTGAACTTTGAGCTAATCTTCATCATCTTAATTGTGAAGTGTGAACTTTGAACTTTGTTCTAATATGAACATTAATTGAAGTTTCAGAATGACCTTGGGTTTTTTATGCAAAAAGTGAGATATCTTCTTTTCTGATTTAACTCGTAAATATGATAATGTGTTGAACTGTGTGCTCTGTCATTGTTATGCAGCAATATATCCATACTCTTGAGGCTTCACTTCAGGAGGAAATGTCAAGACATGCTCCTCTCTATGGTGTTGGCTTGGAAGCTCTGTCAATGAAGGAGCTGGAGACTCTATCCCGTATCCATGAAGAAGGGCTCCGGCAGATCCATGGACTCCAGCAGCGAAAAGAAAGTGCTGGTGGCAGTCCTCTTGTGAGTCCCCATGCCCTGCCCCATTCTCATGGATTATACCCTACAGCACCAGCACCTATGGCGGTTGGACTGCCTCCTTCACTCATTCCAAATGGCGTTGGGATCCACAGCAATGGGCACATAAATGGTGCAGTTGGACCCTGGTTCAACCCAAGCTAAGTTGAGGACCAGAGTCTCCTGTAATTCTTTGTAAGTGACAAGGATCGACATTCATCTGGTTGGCCTCTGTTAAATCAGTTAGTTTAGTAAAAATTTCAATATGAAGGATTTTGTCATTCTTATGATTTTTCATTTGGGGTTTTCCTTCTTGAGTTGTCATCTGTTGGCATTTGAACTGGTAGGGCCATTGGGTCGGATCATCTGTCAAATAAATAAGAGTAAAGAAAATGCATAGGATTCAAGAGTAAAGGAGAAAATGATAGTTTGTAATAACCAAACGCAAGAACATGGGATTCCAGAGGTTCTACGGTTGCAAATGCCGCATTGATTTACTTCATCTTTTTTTTTATATAAGAAAAAGCATGTTTAGAATTTTTAAGAATTTGATGTCCTAAACTGGCCTGGAACTTGTTTCTATTTCTTGTTTCTCATTTATGGTCGAATTAAGTTCATTTCTTAAAAAAAAAAGAACAATTGCACATCCAATACTTTTGGGGGCATTAGGCAAAACTCTCCTTGTTAATTTTACAGCTACACATGCTCTGAAAATGAAGATCCTGAATGATTTGATTTTGATCACATCGTAAGGAGAATTGATACCCATCCCACCTATCGTTATTGGTTGCGTTACCCTGTCCCCTCAACCTTTAGTTGGTTGAAATGCTTGGGTAAGACATTAAAGTGAGTCTCAGGAATCTTTAAATTGAAATGCTTGGGTAAGACTTTGATTATCACTTTTAGCAGAAACAAAGCGCAACCCAATCCTCTGGCTCTGGCCAAGCGAAGGCCTAACAAAATGGCAAAAGCTTTTGAGAAGATAGCGAATCTCGGAATGTCAGAGACTGATTGATTCGGGAGGAAAGACCCATTATAATCATGATTCCAGTTTCGGTCAACCTGTGACCCATTATTTTACAAAGGGTAGCTGAAACCTCCTCAGAAGTTTTGGGATATTGCTAAAACTTTCCCTGAAGTTTGGTAATTGTAATCATCTCCTGGAATTTTTTTTACACAGTTGCAAGTAGACCCCCTCTATTAGATTCTTCAAAAAAGGAAGCATGATAATGTCTAAAATACCCATATGGTGACCATTCAGGCTGGTTCTATAGAAAAAAAATAACATAAACTTTATTAAAACAAAAAAAAAGAATTTAAAGTTGTAGTTTTGCATTGATATAAAGGGCAAATTTAAAAAAAAAATAAATTAATTTCAAAAAAGAGATTGGAATGATTTTGGATAGCAATTTTATTTTAAGAAAACTTAGAAAATAAATATTTTGGTCAAAGCAATTGAATGGCTATTTTGGACATTTTCATGTCTTTTTTTAGATTCTTGGTTGAAAATTTACATTTACAATTATTTGGCATTGTTTCTAGAGTTTGTACACATTGATCTTACACCTTGAATTCTTACATTAGGATGCAACTTGGATTAGCATATTCTAAAATATTTGATAGGACAAGGAAAATTTAATAAATCAATCGTAAGGCTAGTAATATTGTACCGAACAGTCAAAAACATGACAAATAATAAAATTGACAATATTAGATAATGAATTTTCTCAAAAGAACCTAAAAGTGGTTCTAGACAAGTGTTGTAGCAGGAATTTTCCAATCTTCCTATTCGAAGACAGCTTGGACAGATGGGCTGATGAGGTTGGTCTACCGAACTACAAGAAAGGAAGAATCAGAATACCCGGGGTGCTGATCTCAGGCTGGGCACTCCAATGCTTAAGTCAGTGATGAGAATAGCAAAGAGCTTGAGAGCAAAAGGTGAGTAATTTGCATAGATTCCGCATACCTTGTGAAGAAGTGTTAAGGTCCTTTTATAGGCGTTGGGGTTCGAGTTTTGTGTCCGGGATATCCGGGCACACTGACCTTATCAGTTCACTATCTTCGGGATGCGTTCATCCCATGCCAGTAGTGATCCTCATCCAGTCTCTCTGAGTCATGCGAGAGCTAGGGTCGTCCATACTGGGTAGGTAACGTGTCGCTGCCTAACTTGGGACCAAAAGGGATACTACCCCAAGTTGGGGACAAGCTAACCTCCGAGATCGTTGGCTAGCTCTCCCAAGGTGGTGTGTGCCACCCTGTTGGGGGGCAATCTACTATCCTCTCTAGGTCGAGATGTAAGCTAGACAAGCCAATTTAGGTCATCTCAGATCTAATCGACCTGCTCCACGCGGTGCCAAGGTGTCACCAGATGGTTTGGGTTTGCCACATGTCTCTTCGTGGTTGGTTGGTCAAATCACCCCCCACCAACAAGGATTAAAGTATCGGTATTAGGTATCGTATTGGACAGCTTGGATATGGGTACAAATACGCCTTCGAAATACATGGATACAAACAAAAAATATGAAAACACTTGGATACCGCTAGGAAAATGCATACAAATTTCATAAGTATATTAATACCACTAAATTTAATGTCAAAATAACCACAAATAGTGTATAAATACATTGGAGATGTATATTTTAATGGTATATATAAATGCATACATTACAATTATTATAGTAGGATGCATATATATAATACAACTTTATTGGCAATACATTAATCAAGAACCCAAGGTATATATTATTTAGACTTTTACAAATTAATACACAACCATTATTATTTTATTTTCTATTAAAGTCCAAGGAAAAAACATATGAAAATATTATATTTGAATTATTATATCAATTATTTTATATTTATCTTTTTTTAATTTTTAGCATTAACAAAAAGGTCAACCAAAAATTTAATTCTCAAATGTTTGGTAAATAATATTTTTATTTTTGTAAACAATAAATATGTTAATATAAAATGTAAATTAAAACATCAATTAATAATTTACAAAAATATATAATCATAAGATATATCAAATCTATTAAAACTTTGGAGATACATATCATATGTAAATTCATAATTTTTAATTACTAAAATAATTATTCAATTATTATTATTTTTATTTCTTTAAATTATCAATTTTTGGATATAAAAGTATATTAGTGGATTTAATAGATTCAATTTATATTATATTTTCAAATAATTTGTAAATAATATTTTTATTTTTTAAATAATAAGTATATTGTTATTTAATATAAATTAAAATATTAATTAATAATTTATAAAATTTTTAAGATACATACCATGTACAAATTTATAATTTTTAAGTACTAAAATAATTATTTTATTTTTAATATTTTTATTTTTATAAATTTCTTGAGATTAAAAATCACTTTTTGATATAAATGTGGATTTGATAGATTATTTGTTCTATTAATTTATAAAATATTATTCTTTTTAATTTATAGTTGGGGTGATTGAATATAATGTGTTATTATATGTTATTTATTTGAATTGGTTGTGGACATTAAAGTGCATAGTTAATGTATTTCATTTACTATCATAAAATGAGTGTTGGATTAGTGGTTAATGACACATTTAATTGTTGGGCATTGGTGTCTTCCAATCAGCCTCCAATTGTTATAATGTGTTGTTTGATGCATCATTGATACACCTTCATATCGCTGATATCAGACCATATCGGCCAATACTATACGATACACACCAATACCGTGACATATCAGGCCAATAAGCACAACTGGATCCTTCCAATCATGCATGTGTATCTAGTATCGGGTGTATACTTAATCCTTGGTTCTAAATATGAGAGAGAGTGGAGTAATATAATTTAGATAGATTAAAAAAAAAAGACCATCCAACAGTCTGTTATGTCGGTGCCTTGAATTTGAACATATCTCACTTTGTAGATATGTGGGATATTTGTTCATCCAGAATTGAAGGTTATCCGGAAATGGCAAGTCATCTGGAATTGCAGGTCATATAAAATTACAGGTTATTTCGGAATCACAAATGGGACTCGCAATAGGAATTTGCAAATTGTACCTTTCCTGGTTTAGTGAGAACTGACCCAATTTGGGGTTTCTCATATAAATACCATTTGTATCTTGACAGGAAGTAATCTTGTATCTTCAGTAGGGCTGCATTTGAACCAATCTCTAATCAAATAGTTTAAAGTTTGAATTCGATTAGGCTCAATTTGAATTCAATTCTAATCAATTTCAATTGGAATCTTGAGGTAAGCTATTAGTTATTTGAAGTTGGCCAATAAAAAGTTTGGCTCAGAAGCTAGTAACACATACATACATTGTAGAACATAAAAAATAGTTTGCAATATATATTATAAAAGTATATTTTTATATTCTATATGTAATATATAAGAATATACTATAAATTATAAAAAATATATCATATATATAATTATAAAATACAAAAATATATTTATTTTCGAGCTTTCGAGTCGAACTCATCAAATATTAAATCGAACCAAGCTCGAACCTGGAAATAGAATTTTAATCAAACTCCAATCAGGAAATAGAGTTCGAACTGAACATAAACTCGAACTCGAACTGGAACTGGAAGTTCAGCTTGGCTTCGCTCAATTGCACCCTTATGGCCTTATTCTTGAACACCAAGAAAGAGTGTACACGGGTGTATGTGTGAGATACAGAGAGGAGTTTCGGGTTTATTGGGAAAAAGGATTGGTAAGCTAGGAAGGCTGTGAGCGTTATTAGTGTAATCTCTGCTATGTTTTTTTAAGGGATTATTTCTTTCTCTAACGCCTGAAAGCATAGGATATAAACTGAGCTACGTAACTATATCTGATTACAATTGCTTTGCTTTACGGTTTTATTTTATTTTATTTTCTCTTTCTCAGTAGTTTTTCTTGTTCATAAGTTTCCGCGCAACACATTAAATCACAATTGAGATAAACGGACAACTTTGGAAGTCTGATAAGGTTGAAGGATGCAAGTCTCGAAACGATTAACAAAAGAAAAGAAAAATCTACCCGGAAACCTGGACGATTCTGGGCCCAGTTGGAAAATCCCCAACCAAATCCAACCTGTCAAAGTTGAGATGTTGGGTTTACAAAGGGCTGAGTCAACCCTACACACATTACACACAGAGAGAGCTGGAGAGACGGGGGGCCAAAGATGCTGGGTCTTCCCTGTTTTGGAAACATGTAAATATGTAACCCTCCCTCCTTAAGCAACTGAGTTCCTGAAGATAACGATTGAAGGCTTGAAGCCAGATCATTTTAGTCAATCGACAATCTTTCAATGTTCTCCTGAAAACTGGAGTAACATAATCCAGATTTACATGAACCCCAAAACGGGTTTATTGTCGGATTGAAGAAAAAGTCTTCCAGATAATGATTACGCGTATAACCAAAATCCTCGCCCACTGTCATCAAGTTGTTCCCACAGACGAGAAAGAGAGAGAGAGCGCAGGAGGAAGCTGAGGCCCTTATCCTCTTCCACTAGTCTGACCTGGTTAATGTGGTTGATATATGTTGATCATATTCGTGTCATCCTTTTTCTGCAGTTCAATCCTTTGAGCACGTTTCTCTCTATCTTCTTCTTCTTATCTATTCTGGGCACAGAAGTATATTAAACGGAATCTGTGGTGAGCAGAAATTTCCTAACAGAGAAAAGCTAGCACCAACACCACCAGCAAAACTTGGAACTCACATCACTTGCTGCGTACGTATGAGTAATTTTCCCTGGAAATTTCTAAATTCCAGCCAAGCTCTCAGGTTAGGATAAAATTTCGGACTCTCTACTCCAACACATGCACCTAAGATTTCGGAATTTCAGGTAGACTTCCATCAAACTTGTCATCTCAAAACATGGTTTGGAATAAAGCCATGAAGAGAGAGAGAGAGAGAGAGAGATTCAGCTTTTCAGGTAAGATGGAAGGGATATCTGAGGATCTGACCAACTAGAGGATGACGGAATTGTGGCTTATAATTAGCGTTTGACTCGACACGTATACGTATCTTATTGAGTATTCTCCTCTGATTTTGTCAAACTAAATCCTTTGCCATGTGACGAGTTGTTTCTTATAAATTTAGAATCACAAAACCCCAAAATTTATTCCCCTCCATACATCACTCCTGGGGAGCAAGAAAAACCCACCAACCAACTCTTCTTCTTCAACGTACTCCTTCCACCTCTTCTTGGTTTCCATCTCTCGACATTGTTGGGTTGGTTGTGAACGCTGGCAGGTAGGTACAGGTACCCCATACAATACAATACATTCATCATCTTGGCCACAAGCTCTCTTCTTTATCATCTCTATCTCTTTTGGTTGATATATTAATTCTTGTAATGGTAGGATTTTTTCTGATATTTCATCTTTGTTTTCGGTTCTAACTTTTGAATGGTGTTTGTTCCAGCAAACTTCCAATGCTTCTGAAGTTGGTGGTTTGATTTCTTCTTTAGTAACATGAAATGTTGTTGTTTTGCAGAATGGAGAAAGTGTGCTGGCCTTATTTTGATCCTGAATTTGAGAACCTTACGGAGAGGATACATGGCCCCAGGTCAGTTGCTGTCTGCGTCAGCCTTAATTTGTTTCAGCCTTCACATACCATCAGCCACCATCTCCACCATCTCTGCACCTGCACGCCTGTGTCCACTATCCACAACCCACCCTCTGATGGGACCCACCTGGGTTACGTAATTCTTTGGTTAACGATGATGACCACCTAACTCGTCTACTGATCAATCGGTGGACATTTCCCCATCTGATCGTGATGTTAAGCCAACCAGCCAAAAACCTTGTCCGTTGGCCAGATTGTTGTTAATTTATTTGGGTTGACTCTTAGTTTAACGAAGATGACCACTATATCTCCGGAGATGTATCCGAGGGACACTGTTAGCAAATGTGTTTTGTATACAAACTTTGCGTGTCTGTGTTTAAAACGTGGTTTAATTGAGGGGTTAAGAGTTTTGAGACTCTCACACCTGAATTTTTGGCTGAATTTTCATACACGGTAGGTAGGAAAAGTGAGTAGGAAATCCCGTTTGATTAGCTAGCTATAGGTCCAATGGATTATTGTGGGTCAGATTTGATTTAGTCAAAGATGGGGTGATTTTGGACGTCTCCCAGTCTTTTGTTTGTGGCATTATCAATATATATCCCATATTAATGGACCCAGAGAACCATACTATAAATTTGTAGCCATTTTGTTTAGGTTTTAGGTGAACAAACTTGAATCATCACCTGCTGACAGTGAGTTTTGTGTTCATGCAGTTGCCAGGTTTGCATCGATAATGAAAGCTGTGAAGATTGCACTGTTGTCAAGGTGAGAGAGAGAGAGAGAGAGAGAGAGAGGGAGAGTTCTTTGTTGTGAAATCACTAAGCATGTTGTTAAGGGTGAAATTATTGTTTCAGGTAGACAGCGTGAACAAACAGGGCCTCCTCTTGCAAGTGGTGCAAGCATTGACAGACATGAATCTACACATCTCCAAAAGCTACATTTCCTCAGATGCTGGATGGTTCATGGATGGTAAGTGGCCCCACCCTTTGAATTTGATGGGCCCCATTTGGATTTTGACTCGGACCCATCCATATAACCAATCATAAAACCTGAACCATGTGCATATAGATGATAGTTATGATCCATAAAACACCTTTCTTTTTCCTTGCATTTGCAGTGTTTCACGTCACAGATGAGCACGGGAGCAAACTCACGGATCAAAATGTCATAGACCACATCCAACAGGTATCCTAGTCTTCTACACCATAAACCGGGTCTATAAAAAAAAGATCATGGTTTGTACACATGGCGACACGTGGATGGGTCGATGGTCGGTTCACTTGATCATATATAACATGATGAGAACCCCCTACTCCACAACCCCTCCTGTGGCAACAATATTCCTACGTGATTGGTCTCAGGTTTGATAATAATACCCCCCAACCCCATTCCAAACCATGCAGGCCATAGGTTCAATGAAGGATTCCGCTGGCTCCAGCCGGAGCCAGGTGCAGAATGGTGCAGAAGCAGCAGAAGCCACAGCAGCAGGGAGCGACACATCCACTGAGCACACGGCCATAGAGTTGACAGGGACCGATCGGCCTGGTCTCTTCTCTGAGATATCTGCAGCCCTGACCGACCTGGGGTGCAATGTCGTGGAGGCCCATGCCTGGAGTCACAACGAGCGCCTGGCCTGTGTGGCTTTAATCTCCGACGAGTCCACCGATAGCCGGATTGACGACCCTGGCCGGCTGGCTACCATTGAAGATCATCTCTCCACCGTCCTCGCTGCCACCACCAACAGCTCCGGGGCTAATGAAGAACAAGGAGTGAAGACAGCGGGTCTTCCCGGAGGAGGAGATGGTGCAACCCCAACAACAACCAATGTGGAGCGTCGGTTGCACCAGCTCATGTTAGCCGGCCGGGACTTTGATGGGCCACCGGGGAATTCGAGCTTGTCATCGTCCCCCTATTCCACCGAAGGTGAGGAAGAAGGGAAGAAGACCGTCGTGACGATAGAGAGATGTGATGAGAAGGGGTATTCGGTTGTGACAGTGGAGACTAGGGACCGACCGAAACTCATGTTCGATACGGTATGCACGCTTACTGACATGCAGTACGTGATTTTCCATGCTTCCATATCTTCTCATGGAGATTCTGCATTTCAGGTATGTTTGCGCCAGCAAATCCTCAAGTATGTATAAATATAATCCCTTTCCTTTCATTCATTTCCTTCTGTTAGTGATCATGTTTTACACCAAATCTCTGTAGCATTATATTCTTCCATTGCCAATTTACAGGAATACTATATCCGGCACGTTGATGGGTACGCCCTGAACACAGAGAGCGAGAAGAAACGAGTCATAAAATGCTTAGAAGCAGCCATAGAGCGTAGGGTCTGTGAGGTGAGTGTGAGTGAGCATCTCATTAACCAATAATTAAGCTTAATGAGATGAAATTTACGTATTCAGTGATTTGAGCAGGGAGTCCGGCTGGAGTTATGCGCAAACAACAGAGTTGGGTTGCTCTCTGACATAACGCGGGTGCTGCGCGAGTACGGGCTTGCTGTTGTTCGAGCAGACGTAGAGACGCAGGGAGAGAAGGCCGTGAATGCGTTCTATGTGCGAGATATCTACGGCAATGAGGTGGACATGGAGCTTGTTGAGTCGTTGAAAAGAGAGATGGAATCACTAGCTTTGGAAGTGAAGAATGAAACTCACAGGCCAGGCTCACCTGAGAGACCCCAAAATCGTCTATCTTTTGGAGACATGCTTAAATCCCAGCTTGAACGGTTCTCTCAAAATTTTATTCCCATTAAGTGAAATTAAGCTGTACATCGACCAGATTGCTTGCTGTATATATGTAGTTGATTAGTACCCAATAACTTCATCATCATCTATTAAGTAATTGTGTACATAAATAAATCAGCAGTGTCTTGGCATTTATGGTGGTATCTGTGTATATTGTTATGTGAGAAGCATGTCTGGTTGGAGAACCGTGAAACCCATTTGTGTCCATCAATGGTTTTCTATCACCTGGCTTGTACATAATTAAATAAACATGCTTAATGTATTTGCATTTAGTGTGCTAGCCTTGTTAGATATAAATTTACTGTCATGGGATGCGGTTAGGTGAGAGTTTTAACTTTTAACTGTTCAGCTAGGAAGGCTCAAGGACGTTGTTGTAGGAATTGTATATATATTTGAATTGATTATTTTATCTTCCTTTGACTTTATATCGTTTAGTTCTGTGCAGAGTTAACAAAAAAAGTTTCATTCCAGAAAAGCTGGATTACCATTTCTACGTTGTAAGGGAGTTGAGAAGATGGGCATTGAATCCAAAGTAATCAAGGGAGTCTTCACCAGATTCAAGCTTGTCTCTCTTGTGCAGGTTTGTAAATGAACCACAACAGAACAGAACAGGTATGAGTTAAAGTTGCCTAATTTAGGGGTGTTCTCCACCTGAATGTTCATGCTTCTGAAAAATGCAATATCAGCAGTAAAAAGCAAAAATGCATTCATGGATGCGTGTTTCTTTTTTCAGAAAAAAGGTGAAAACATTTTTTCAATTTAATTCATAAAAATATCCTTGTCTTCGAAACCAAGAAAAATATTGATGAGCATTTTTCCCCATCCCCCAAACTCATACCCCCCCCCCCAAATCAGCCAAACACCTTACCAAGTGGCACCTTTAATATGAGCTACTATTTAGTGAGTAGTACAGACACCAAAATTTCCAGGGACACCCCTAAGGCTGCAACTTGGGCCAGGTTGGCCCGAACCCAACCCTAACCCAATCCAAAAAAGTTGGGTTGGGTTGATGTTCGAGTTAGGGTTAGGGTTGAAATTTATAAACCCGATATTATTTCGGGTTAGATTAGGGTTGACCCCTTAGCCAATCCGACCCAACCCGAACCCGACTCTATAGTACATGTCATATATAAATATATGTTATATGTAATATATAACATACATTGACTTGTTTAGATGCATGATATTTGTATAGTCCCCACCACATAGTATCATGTATTTCTTTTAAGATAATCACTTCACTTAATCCTAATCAGAAAGACTAAAACCTTAATAATATTATTTTATGTTTTTTGAAAATTTTATTCTTCATCCCCTCTATGTTATTTGCCGCCCAAGAAAGATCTATCGTAAGTCATAACTCATAATAAACTATAGTCATTTCTAACACTTGTTTTTCTGAATTTTGTACTAAAAGAACAAAAAAAATAACATTAACAAACAAATACTAATGAAACATAGGATTAATCTATGTAGTAAAAATTGAGTTGAGATCTAAAATCGAAAAATTCTATAAGGTTTTAAAGGATGGGAAGAACGTTGGATTGGGCTCAACCTGAAATTGACTTCGGGTTGGATTGGGTTGGGTTAGTGTTGAAGGAATTTAATTAGGGTTAGGGTTAGGGTTGGGTTGGTCGGGTTGAAGGTCGGGTTGGGTTAAGGTTAGGGTTGGGGTTTAGAACTTAGGGTTGGCCTCAACCCGACCTAACCCAGCCCGACATGCAGCCCTAGACACCCCATTCCCAACCCACATTTAAATGGATTAGATCCAAAAATAAATACAAATACCAAAATAGAAACAAAGGTGAACTAAATTCATTCAAGTAGAAGCTCCATCAGAGATGCATAATATTGCATGCTTAGCAAATAATGTCAACCAAACCACTAGAGGAAAGTATGTTTTTGAAAGCAGAAATTCAAGAACACTTTCTGTTCAGCTTTGGAAACAAGAAATACACTACAAAAACAAAAAAAACATGTCTTTTTTTTTCTGCTTTTGTTTTTGGAACCTTTGTTTTGGAAGGTTCTGCGTTATTTCGAAGCAGGTGCAGGTATGGGACCTTTATTTTTGGAACTCAAAAAATGTTCACATTGGAGAAACACCCCCATACTTGTTTAAAATCAAATCAATTACATTTGTCATGCCAATGAGAAAAACAGTTCAGAAAAAAAAAAAAAAAAAATTATGTACCAAGGAAAAAGCATCATATGATTCTAACTCTAAATGTTAACATTGCCAAACCGATGAAATGCTTATTTGGAAGTTCCTGGAATCAATTCTCTTTCTGGTAAAATCAATTGATTGGTCAAATGTTTTCACCTATGATAAGACAGCAAAATCAAGTAACATACATGAGGGCCAGAAAGAGGAAAAAGAAACAGAGAAGTCAAGACAACCATCAGTAGCAAATTATCTACATTTATATATCTCATGGAGTGTTCATCAAACAATGGCAATTTCCTTTCAGGCTTCATGTTTCAGCCATGACGACCAGAGGATCAAAATATACACACAATAAACAGATGTGGCAAAGGACAACGATGGTGAGACCCATCACAGTAACAATGGTGATTGATAACGTGGATATCTATTGATTATTAATTTAAAAGCAGGGGTTTATTTTGCATATTGAAAGGTAGTTTCACGGCATAGAACTTTACATAAACTTGGCAACAGAAGCTGTCCCAGTACTGACTCAATCAAAATCATCAACATTAAGCCAGTCACTGGATTCACCTTCTGAATCTTTCTCATGGGAAGTTAGTCGGACTGCATTTTTCCTGCTACCCTGAGTGCCAGAATTATCATTCAGTTGAATCCATTCACTTGAGCTTTTTGGGGAAGAAGCTCCCACAACCTGTATCGAACTTGAACTGGGTTGTCTTCTAGGAACATCATTGTCATCATCATCATCCTCTAGATCACTGAAAGAGACATCTTCCTCATTTCCAAGCTGTTTCGGGGCATCAACAGAAGTGCCTGTTCCATCATCTTCTTCTAACCATTGTTCAACATTCTCCTGTTCATCAGTGTCTACCTGGAGTGCTGCATTTGCAGTCTCAGCCAGAGACTCCTTTTCCTGAACTTCGTTGTTCTCTTCTTGGATGGTACAACCCTCATTACTCACCTCTACATGAGAATCATCATTTTTTGGGTTTTCTAATTGTGTATTCTTCCTAGCCTGAAGCTCCTGCAATAGCCTCTCTCTTGTTTCCACAATCTACAAGTAGAAAAACTTGAGATATTTATTTATGACATAACAGTGAAACATTCATGTGCACATCCTAAATAAAAAAGCAAGGAAAATAAAAAAATTATGTAAAAAAATTAAACGAGCTTTTATTGGTGTAGCAGAAAAGTTTGGACAACCTGTTTTGATATAAAAACTGTAAAAGAAAGAAGAAAAGAAAGAGAAGAAAAGGTTTCAGCTGAGAAAGAGAGAGGAGATATAGAAGAGAACGGGAGAAGCTCAAAATTAGGTCTGGCCGCCCCTTTCATTAGATTATATACTCATAAATAAAAGAGAGTACAAAGACAAGTATGCCCTTAGTAAGTCAGCCACTTGTGAGAACTTAAAAACACTCTTAACTTAAAACATAAACTAATGGGCCTAAGGCCCAATAACTCCCTAACTATGCTATACATGGTTTTAAAAACGAACCGGTTAGGGGTCCAGTTACCGGTTCAAACAGTCAGACCGTTCAACCCGAATGGCCGGCCCGTTTTGACAAAAAAAATAAAAAAATTTAAAAAATTGGAAAACGGTCAAAACCGTTCGAACGGTTAACCGGCCGGTTCAGCGGTTTGCTGACCAAAATCAATGGTTTTGGAGGAAAACAGAACCGGTCAAGTGACCGGTTTCCAGTTTTTCCAGTCCGGCCATCCGGTCCGGTTTTGAAAACAATGATGCTATGTAAATAAAAAACATGTTATATCAGCCCAAAACTCAACACTCCCCCTCAAGTTGGGAATAAATGTCACACACTACCAACTTGCGTAGATCATGCTCCAGCTTGTTTCTTGTAACTCCTTTTGTAAGAACATCAGCAAGCTACAAGTCAAATGCAACATATGACAAGGAAACAGCAAACTTCTCCGGATGTCACCCTTTCCTTATAAAGTGTCTATCCACTTCTATATGCTTCGTCCTATCATGCTGAACTGGGTTGTGGGCAATGTTAATTGCTGCTTGATTGTCACAATATAGCATCATAAGTTTTTCAGCCTCAACTCCAATCTCCCCTAACAAGGAATGGATCCAGATGAGCTCTAAAACACCATGTGTCGTGGCTCTGTATTCAGCTTCTACACTTGACCTTGTCACAACTATCTGTTTCTTACTCTTTCATGAAACTAAATTACCTCCAACAAGAGTACAAACTACTCCTAATGTAGATGTCCTGTCATCTAAACACCCTGCCCAATCAGCATCTGTGTAAGCCTCTAACTTCAACTACCCATGGTTAGCAAATAATATGCCTCTACCTGGGTGTCCCTTTAAATAGGAAAGTATCCTGTCGATAGCCTCCCAATGCTGAACTCGTGGGGCATGCATGTATTGACTCACCACGCTCACTGCATAAGAGATGTCTAGTCGTGTCATACATAAGTATAGCAACTGCCCCACAAACCTCTGATATTTTCCAACATCCTTCACTAGTTAACCCTCTAAAGCACTTATCTTGTGGTTCTAGCCAATAGGTTTATCAACTACCCTTGCCCCAAGTTTTCCTGTCTCCTGTAGTAGATCTAGAACATACTTCCTCTATGAGATGAAGATCCCATGCTTGGACCTTGCCACTTCAATGCCCAGAAAGTACTTCAGCTCCCCAAGATCCTTAATCTCAAACTCTTTGTGTAGATTCTTCTTCAAGGTACCAATCTCACTCAAATCATTTCCTATGACTACAATGTCATCCACATACACTATCAAACCTGACACCAACGATCCCCTCCTCTTCACAAAAAGAGTATGATCAGATTGAGTTTGAGTATAGCCAAATACAACTAATAAACTTCTAAGCCTGTCAAACCAAGCTCTGGGTGATTGTTTTAAACCATATAGAGACTTCTTTAACCCACATACCTTTCCTTTTTCCACATTATTGTAAAAGCCAGCTGGAAGGTCCATATACACCTCCTCCTACAAGTCCCCATTGAGAAAGGCATTCTTCACATCAAGTTGGAAGAGTGGCCAAGAGTATGTAGCTGCTAGTGATAGAAGAATCCAAACTGAACTCATCTTTGCCACTAGTGCAAAAGTTACCAAGTAATTTATGCCATAAGTTTGAGTATACCCTTTTGCAACCAACCTCACCTTGTACCTTTCTATACTCCCATCAGCCTTGCACTTCACTGTATAAACCCATTTGCATCCAACTTGACTATAGTGATGGTTCCGGCCCCAAAGAAGTCTCCAACATCTCCTCCCCCGGATCTCATTTCTCCTATAAATTTGTTTTCAACTCCACAGCCCTCCATAACTCTCAAAATAGATTAGGAAATCAATTTGAGATGAAAAGAAAGGTATTTATCTCCTTTAGAAACCTCAAACACCCTCTTGAAACCCTAGAAGCCCTTCCCTTCAAAGATTCCCTTTTTTTCGTGGGAGTGGGAGAAGAGAGAGAAGAGGTTGTTGCTCCCTCCAGACCTCCAAAATGGCTAGGACTTGAACCACCCACTTCAGAAAACGTCAAGGAACCCTAGAGCGCCACTTCATAGGTCAAAATTCAAGTGTCCTACTAAAACAGGACTCTCCCCCTTTCTCTAGTTCTTCCTGATTTTGGTGTAAAACCCTAGACCAGTTACAAGGGATTGCAATTCCACCAAAAAATTCAAAAATTGGGCTTACCTAAAGTCTTCGATCAGCCCTTTACCTTATCATGCAGTCAGTCGATCTAGGGCTACATGATGGAGCAGCTCAAGAAATCTTTAAACTTGCTCTGATACCAAGTAAAAAAGTTTGGACAACCGGTTTTGATATAAAAATCTCAAAATTAGGTCTAGTCGCCCCTTTCATTAGATTATATACTCATAAATAAAAGAGAATACAAAGACAAGTATACCCTTAGTAAGTTGGCTACTTGTGAGAACTTAAAAACACTCTTAACTTATAACATAAACTAATGGACCTAAGGCCCAAAACTCCCTAACTATGCTATGTAAATAAAAAACATGTTATATCAACCCAAAACTCAACAGGTGTGATGGGGAAATTTTGACTGATAAGCATGAAAAAATGGGTTTGAGTTTGAGAGCAGCCACTTGGTGCTAAACCACCAGACATGAGGCCAATATCCAGCCCACCCCTCATAACAACAACCCCCTTAAAAAAATGTTGTTATTATTGTTGTATTAATGAAGGATTTGAGTTAATGAACCATCAAAAAAGGGTTCTTAAAAATGAAAAAAGTATTTGGATATACATCTGACTCTGTAAAAAAGGATCATTCAAAATATCAACAACAAGACCATGTTAACTAACTACTTATGCAAAGTGGAGCATGGAGAAAACATGAGCCATGGGAAATCCATGTTTACCCACACAGATGAACAAGGTATCAACTATCAAAATGCAAGTTATACTGAAAAATGAAAATTGAAGGATCCAGGATCCAATACAATATGGAACCCTTGTACAGGTAACCAGGTATCATGGTCATATTCTTCTATCCTCTATGGGCATAAGATGGTTAAGATAGCTGTCTATCCATCTCCATTGATCAAGAAAGAAAGGGGGTATCCAGAAAACCAAACCATCATATTCTTCTATCCTCTATGGGCATAAGATGGTTAAGATAGCTGTCTATCCATCTCCATTGATCAAGAAAGAAAGGGGGTATCCAGAAAACCAAATGGTCATATTCTTCTATCCTCTATGGGCATAAGATGGTTAAGATAGCTGTCTATCCATCTCCATTGATCAAGAAAGAAAGGGGGTATCCAGAAAACCAAACCATCTACTGAGAATTTGCTCATCCAGGAGTATGAATGAAAGCCCCCCCCCCCTGACCACCACCACCAAACACTCACATTCCACCCCCCAAAGGATATGCTTTTCTTGCCTTCTATTCCTATTTTGGTCATTTACCCATAAAGAGAACCCTTTATGGAGAAAAAATGATTCGTATATCCGGCCCCAAGGAGTTAACAAATTGTGTGTGTGCGCGTATCTATGTATGTATGTACGTGTGTGTGTGTGTGTGTGTGTGTGTGTGAGAGAGAGAGAGAGAGAGAGAGAAAGAGAACCAGGAACAGAAACAGATGCTAACAAAAGTAGGAAGGGACTGTCCGGGGCTTAAGAGATCTTCTTAATTAGGTGGTTTGGTTAATAAGGAATATGATAGTGAGGATCCAATGGGTAAGAAGATCGGCTAATGAGATGGTTGATTGTCTTGCAAAACAAGGGGTTAACAAGGATTCTCTGTTTTGGGCAGCTTTATAATTGTGTATTATCTCTCTACTAGCGGTTACTTGGTTTTCCATGTAGTTCTAATATTTTTTCATAAGAGTAAGGCTGCACCTCGAGCCTCTCTCTGGGCTTATTTGCAACAGATCCATCTTTTGATTAATGAATTAAATTTCAATTATCAAAAATAAGTAGAAAGGGACTTATAGGTGGAACTGGACCAATTCTAGGAAGAAATAAGAGAGGAATTGCATCACCTTATGTCACCTGTGGAATCACACAACCAAAAAGAATGAGATGGCATATGTCTTGGACTGATGTTACTCTTTTTCCCCCTTCCATAACATTTTTTCCAATTTAGTATTTAAAAGAGAACTATGCAGCTGTGAGCTCCAATGTACATGTTTTTTTTAAATCATGATACTTACTTGTATTATAATGTAATAAAGAGAAAATAGAAAAGGTACACAAGGAGTATATTGAAGGGAAAGGGGGAAAAAAAGAGAAGCCTTTTTTGGATGAATAAAGAAAAACTTTATTACTTCAGAACTTAATACAGAACTTTAAACTCATACAACAGCCCTTGGAGAGGTGAGACCTGCAGCCTCTCCCAACTGATTACAAGGAAACTAGAAAGAAGAAAACATGCATTACAGCTGAGCCCAAAACAAGACTTCCATATTTGTCCCTTTCTTAGCTAGCGAAAGCATTTGCTGATCTCCCCACCAATTGTATAAGAACAGACATAATCCTTGTCAACCACTTAAGTTTTTTTATTTCATTCTTGTAGGGCCATATAGTATCCTCAGGGTTCTTCAACCACCTCACTACCACCTTTGAATCCCCTTCAATAGCTGCCCTACACCCAGTTGATTTCATTCTTGTAGGGCCATATAGCTGCCCTACACCCAGTTGATTTGCAAATTGCACTCCTTGAGTTCCATGGTCTTTAACCAATGGATTGCTTGATTCAACACACAATCCTTTAAATCTTGGCTACTCCTCTCTTTCTCTTGGAATACTTTAGCACTCCTTTCTTCCCAAATTGTCCACATCAAGCCTGCTCTAGCACATCTCCAAATAAGTCTCCCTCTTTTTTTTCCAAATGAAGGTAGAAGGGCTAAAGATCATGCTTACTTCTGCTGGCATGTTCCACCTACACCCAAATAACTAAAAAAACCAAGCCTGTAATTTTGCAAAAAAAGGACATGACAGTAGTAAATGGTAATAATCCTCCCCATGAACTCTACAAACAATACACCAGTTGGGTGAGATACAAAGGAAGGGTCTTCTCTTTTGTAGATTATCTAAGGTGTTCACTTTCCCATGATACAGTTCCTGACATACCTGAGGAACTGAGGAAGAACACTATGAATGGCTTTCCATGAAGTTGCCAAAGTAGCCCGCATCCATTCTTTGAACTCCCATAAATACTTCCTACCACTTCATGCCATAGCCTCTCTCTCTCTCTCTCTCTCCAAAGACCACCATCACAACCACTTCCCCAATAAAGCTTGATTTTTCTTAACCACCTTTCCTAATCCCAAACCACCCACCCTCCTCTTTGTTTCTACAAACAACTTCCCACTTCAACAAATGGTCCTTTTTTCCTTGTCCCAGTTCCCAAAGGAAATCTTTCATTAGTATCTCTAGCTTCTTTGCTTCCCTAGGTGGTATCCTAAAGACAGACAGAAAATAAGTAGGTATGTTCACCAAAATAGCTCTTATCAAGGCGATCCCACCACCCAAGGAAATGTAGTTCTTCTTCCACGAGGCTAGTCTCTTCTCTCAAGATTTTCTATCACTAGAGTCCAAAACCTACTCTCCCTAGAGTTTGCCCTAACGGAATCCCTAAGAAAGAGATAAAACACTCAAGACACTCTATAATAGTCTCGACCTCCCTATTCGTCAAATTGATACCCGTAACCCGCTATACAACTCTTTTCCAAATTTATTTTCAAATTGGAAATTCTCACAAATCCTCTAATCAACTCCTTTAAATGTGCTATCTTCTCGCTAGCACCCCCATCATAGAAATTCATCAAGTCATCTGCAAACTGAAGATGGATGAATGGGCTTCGATTTCTACTTGACCTCCAACCCTTCATAATATCTTCCCTATCAGCCTTACCACCTTAGTGATGATTCTACTAAGAACATCAGTTACTAGGGTAAAAAGGAAAGGTCGAAAGTGGGTCTCCTTGCCTAACACCCTTACAAGCTAGAAAGAAATCATTCACCACTCCATTAACCAAGATTGAGTAGTGGCAGGTACTAACACACCCAAACATCCATCTACAACACCTCTCTCCAAACCCACAATTCCTCAACACCTCTGAAAGGGGCCTTTTCAAGATCCAATTTACAAACAAAACCTCTTTTTCCAAACCTTCTCATCTCCTGCATACATTCATTAGCAATCAAGATTTGCTCAATTATTTGTCGCCCTCAAATAAAAGTCCCTTGGGCTTGGCTGATGATAGAGGGAAGAACTTCTTTAATCCTCAAAGAGAACACTTTAACCAAGATTATGTAAATACTTGTCACCAAACTAATTGGCCTAAAATCTTTTGGGTGGCTAGCATCAAGCTTCTTAGGTATTAGAGCCAAAAAAGTAGCATTAACTCCACGTCTTACTATGTGCTTATTTGCAAACTCCTTAAAGACATCACACAAATCATCTTTTATTATCTCCCAACAATCTTGATAGAAATCCATTGTGAAACCATCTGGGCCCGGAGCCTTAGCTCAGTCCATTAAAAGAACTGCTTGTTTAATCTCTTCTTCCTAAAAATTCCTTTCTAACCACCTAGCCTTTTCCTCAGCAAACCTTGGCCAATCCACCCCTTCCACTATTGGTCTCTCATCCAAAGGCCTTCTAAAGATGGATTTGAAGTGGTCCACAAACTTCTTGGCAATTTCATCCTGATCGGTAATCACCTCCTCTTCTACCTCTAGTTTGGTTAGAAAACTCTTCCTCCTCCTTCAATTTGTACCAATTCATGCACTCCACCACTCCATTTTATTCACAAAATCCGGATGAATGCCACATGTTTTCAAATCTGAAAGGTCTAGGTCCAGTAACAAAAGACTCCACATCTATTTTGATAGGACAGTGGAGTAACAAAAGAGAAGCCTTTCAAAATACATGTGTTGCCCATCTGTTGTTATCTTTATCATTAATTCATGATATAAACAAGGGTATCCCTTGAAATCATTGCCTCACAAACAACACACACACAGACACCCTGTTTATGTGCCATTAATAAGAAGAAAAAGTGGTTACTATAGAGAAGTTAAATGGATACATCCATAGTTCTCTCATTGCAACCATGATCTGTATTTTCTAATATAAGCTCATACTGATCCTAGTTTCCACTGGACTTATTGAATAAAAGCAACTGTTAATAGACTATAGAGTGTTCCATCTATAGAAAATATAAGACAAAGTGGTATCTGGCAATACAATTAAAGCTAATTGTGTCCAGCTGCAGTCTTTGGATATACACCTATTCTACAATATATGGTACATAAACATACTTGCACAACAACAACCAGCTCCCCCCCAAAAAAATAATTAAATAAATAAATAAATAAAGACAACAATAGACATGCAAAGATAATGATTTTTCAAGTTCATAGATTTGCAGTACAATTTCTTCCATTTTTTTGTTATAATATACATGCCAACCTATAATACCTAGACATGACATGCATGGACATGGGTGTAGAAAGAGTCGAACATGAAGTGGGCACTAAAATGAACTTTCTAACACAACATAGCACCCAATTACAGTCATCTATACAAAATACTTGCCAACTGCAATAGAAAAAAAAAATGTATGACCAGAGAAGTCTTGCCTGGGCTGTTGATAGAAGTCTGCGGTCATCCTCATTGATCCTTGGGTACAACATAATGAAATAGATCATCCAAAAGTGGCCCTCATTCATATGACTTGGGCAAAGCCTAGTCCTAAGAGCTGCCAAGCTTGGTGTGAAGTGTTCAACAGTTGAAGCATGCTCTCTTTGAATATCAGACATATTGAAATCTGCCAGAGTACATGTCAAATTTATAAGTACATCAACAAAATAACAAGTGGCACATTTCGTCAAAGTATTTAAGCTTGATAGCCAAGAAAAATACAGAACAAAGTTCTACAAGATTCACTACCAATCAAAAAGAAAGTAGTGCTAGATTCACTGTGAGAAAAATACACATGTAGCATAAGTTCATAAAGCATATGATTGTTAATTGCCGAACATTATGACTTCTTGCAATAGAAACTATATGTAGTTTAACATCTGTATGGTTATCCAAAGTTAGATGCTGACTAAAATATAATTATAGTTATTATAATACAAAGAAAATGGACAATAGAAAGAAAAATTGGCACTATTATAAAATCTCTAATGAGTAGTTTAAATGGATAATGCAAAAGGATAGCAACAAAAATATAATCCTAACAGTTTTCATTTCAATAGTCTAATCCCAATAGTATCTTACCCATGATCACAATGATTCTAACCCATTATTGTTGATACAATTTATCTCATGTTAGATCACAATGATACTAACATGTGAAAAAAAAAGAAAAAAAAAAACAACTCAAGAAATACTGATGTAGGTGGCCATCAGGCTACCAGTAACCTCCTTAAATTGTTAAAATTATGAATTTATGTGTTTCACATCTGGTCTAATATAAGAATTCAAATAGATTACTGGAACTTTTCCGATGAAATATGTTAAATACACGAGTTTTTTTAACCCCTCAAATCAAGATCTAAATTACTAAATAATAAGCAATTCCCAAAAACTAGAACTTTGACCATTTTTGTCCTACATCAAGAATACAAAGTCCTACTTTTATGTCAGTATGAACATGGAATTCTATACTTAGAAAGGGTTTAATATCCTAACATCAAGTTACAGAACCTAGTGCAACAAAATTAGACAAACTTTGAAGTTTGAATAGAGAAGCCAGATGATCTGTTTTGGGCTACCTTATAATTGTAATTCAGGCTATAATGTGCTTAATTGCTTTGCTCTAAGGGAAGCTGGGGAGGTAACATCTCATGCTTCCTTTTAGGCTGATTGTACACTTTTTCTATTCTATGCTTAATAAAATACCACTCATTTATCAAAAAAAAAATGTTTATAATTAGTAAAGTTGATGGTTATTCATCAAAAAAAAATTAAGTATCACGTTTCCTGGCTTTCCACTCAATGCAAGTATGCAGGAATAGCATAAAACATAGAAATTTTTTAAAATCTCAAACCCAATTACAAACTTTAGGTTAATAAACATAATATATTCAATGGAAGAAGGTTTCCCAGATTGTTTTGTTTTTATTTCCATTTATATTTTTGTTTTCAAAAGGAGATTACCCACATAATGGGAAACATAGGAAGTTAATCTAAAATCTGGGATTTAGCAGGTGTAAAATGCGGCCTTGCCTTGGTATCAATGCAAGTCAATCGTTTGTTAATTAGATATCTAAAGCAACTAGGCTGGCATGCATGATCCTGGATCAATGAGCACTGTCTTATCTCACTTTTGTGTGGGATAAGTTGTACAGGAAACTGCCATATCCACTCACTGATGGTATTATGGTAAGTAATTTAAGGTTCTTGATAGTTGATCTACACTACCTTTTTGAGCTTTCTTTAAGAAACCTCATGATCGAGTGAGAAATAACAATGAAAAGTGAGGTGTATGATGGAACCCTAATGGAGGTTATAACAATGAAATGAGAGTTCAAAGTTTTAAAACATTACATTATTATTTTCTGGTCAAGCCTTCTCTCCAACAGGGAAGCAATAAGTGAGAAAAGTACTAGTTATATTACATATTTAAATGTCTTGGGTGGTAAATAATTTAATTGCTAACCAACATGATCATGGTTACAGGTTAGTGCGATAGAGTAGTTAATATTGTTGATAGAAAAAAAATGCTCAGATCTGCAATGCCCTGACAGGGATAGGCATTTAATGAAGTGAAATATTAGCCTTACTAAAAGTGTTAGTAACTTTCTATCTATTCTTTCAATATTTATAATACTTATCCAACTTTTTATGGTCCGATACATAAATTGTGGTTCACTATTCCTCTCTATTAAGAGTCATATCGTTGGTTAAGAGCCCTAAAACCCATATTGGTAGTCTGGAACCCTTGATGGGCTGGCTGAAATTTGACCTTCCAAGCACTTAAAGCAGAGACAGACAATACATAAGCCCTCCTCGACCCAAATAGGCAGAGAATGATAACATTCTTAACCTCTTTCATTCTCCCTACAGCAGCAGAAGCACAATTTAGGTTCCAAAACTCTGCAGATGAGTACTATCCAGAAAAACAAAAAAACCTCTGCAGTTGAGTCCACTTCTCAATAAAATTATTGGATAGTATATTTAACTATACAAACATAAAGGGTGGCTCCAACATTAAGTACAGCTAAAATAGACAAAGACTGTGGGTTTTACGATTTGAAATGTTAAAAATATTTTTAGTAGGATTTCACAAAACATGACAAACATCAACAAACCAAAAGAGTCACTTTACGGGCTCATCAAGAAACCATTTTTAACAAGGAAAATCAAAGTTTCAATATCTCAATTCTCAGAAATCTTAATATTTAGCTAGTAATAATGACACCGATAATAAATAAAGAACCCACTAATTAAAACTGCAAAAAACGCATAACTGAACCGGCATAAAAGCAATTGCTGACTGAATTCCGTAAAAGAACAAACAGGGCATAATTTGATTACCGTTACTGATCGACAACGGGAAATCAACCCAGAATTCTGGTCTCATGGACATCTCTTGAGCGAACTCCAAAACCTCATCCGTAACCCCAACAATGCCATCACCATCACCACCCCCTCTATATTGCTATAAATCGCCACCACCACCTTCACTCTCACCCCTTCCTCCTTAGCACTACAAGTCCCCACTCCCACCATCACCATCACCACCCCCATGATCCTCCCCAGAAGACTCATCTCCATCTCCGCCCTCTTCATCTTCCTTAAGCTGTAACAGATTCGAGGCTAACTTAGAGATCTCATTAACAGCCTTATTGGTAGACAGCAGAGAAAGCCCCGATCTGAAGCTACCACTGATCTCTGCAAAATCATTACGAATGCCAAGAAACGTCTGGGAAGAAGAATCGGAGGATTCAGCGGCGTCGGAGGAAGAGTCGGTAACTGGCGGAGGAGCGAGGAAGGACGCCACACCCCATAGCTGTCGGCCAATGGTTTTGCCAAGCTCTGATAAGTCCTCTTTCACTCCCCCGACATGAGAAGAGCTCTCTTCTTCTTCTCCTGCAACCTTTTCTTCTTTATTTACTGCATCCTCTTCATCCGATTCCTGCGATTTGAAGGGATTTGGGAGTGAAATTGAAAGCCAAGACATCCTCGAGGCTACGGAGCTTCAGAGAGACCGAGAAAGAGAAGAAATAGAGAGAGAGAGAGAGAGAGAGAGAACACGACAAGGTCGAATCGAACAAGGGCACTGTTTAGGCCGCCCTTTTCCTATTGTTTTTCTCTTTCTTCCTTTTTAGTTCATCTCTTTTTCTGAGAATGATGAGATGAGATTTTTTTTCTTTCGATTTTTCATTTTGTTTTTATATAGAGAGGCCGGTAAACGAGAAACCCTTTGACTAAAAAAATTCCTTAAACTTGATAGAATTACATCAACCGATCAACGGAGGAGGCCAGTAAACGAGAAGCCCTTGACCTCTCTCTCTCTCTACATTTCATGAGGTTGATGGATCAAGGTCATCCTCGTCTTTTAATCCAGACCAGAACCCTAGTTTATTGAGAGTTACCCAAAAAAACAGAGTAGAGAGAACAGAGTAATTTGAGAGCATGGAAGTGAATTTGACAGAAGAAGGCAAGATCTCAAAGCTTTACAGAAATTGTTAACAGCTGAACTGAATGGCTTGTTGTTTTTATCTCAAGTTACTAAAGGAAATTGTAAGCTTCTTATTGGCTGAAGCTGAAATCGGGTTGATTACTGTACCCTATTATAATGTTTTACTATCTAATTGGTTTATCCACCGAAAGTAAAACTGTAAGTCATTCGGTTCAACTTCAACTACTTCTGCTGCTATGAATTGCTCTCTATTTGGGCTTCCTTTTAATCTTTATTTATTCAAGAAAATAAAAATTGTACAAAGTGACTTCAACTTTGAGAATTGAGACTTAGCTAATAGATCATTGTAAAGCTATGCAAGCTGAACTTTGCAAATGGGTCCATTCCAATTTTTCCCGACTTGTAATACTCCAATAAATCATTTATGGCAGTGTTTCTCCGAGGCATTCCACCATGTCCATGTGACTGTGTCATGTAGGCGTATTACTCTTATTTCTTGTTTAATTGAGTTGTTTTGAGCTGAATTCTGTGAGAATAATCTTTGAATACAATGCCATTTTGATATTTCTTTCTAGTTTTTACCTTTTTTTTTTAAGATACCATCCATTGATCTTAAATGGGTCGGTCATTTGGGCTTCCGAGTTTTGATGACCTACCCTATCCCTAGTTCTCCTTTCCCGGAGAAAGGCTCCAGTTTGGAATTTTCACCACATGATAGGGCTGTTTACGGGTTGGGTTGGGTCGGTTTATTGAGGTTTTTCCAACCAATTTGACCTGGTCGAATTACCTGAGATGGAAACCGAAATCGACCTAGTGTTAAGCAAAATCGACCTGATTGGTTTACTGAGGTTTTTCATCCATGCCCCCCATGGCCACCTAGTTTTCTGGAAATATATTTAAAACTGAAATATGTAGTTTAAAAAAAAATATATATATATAAATAAAAATATATATACAAATATATTGGAATATATATTTTTTATAAATATATATCTGACATATTTCATAATATATATTTTTTAGATATAGATATTGGAATATATATTTTCAGATATTTCAGTTTTTAGTTAAGTAGGAACTAAGTTGGTTCGGTTCGAGTCAGTTTCGGTTTTCACACAAAAAAACCAAAACCGACCCAAACCATCGGTTTATGAATTTGTACAACCCGAAACCGACCGATGCTGATGAAAACCCAACCGACTCGGGTTGGATCGGTCCAGATTGATCGGTTTGGTCAGGTTGGGCCTTCTTATGAACAGCCCTACCACATGGGAAGATGCCTTAGACGAAACATGTATTAAGAACCCCGAGTCTATTAATAATTATAGACCAATCATTTTGTACAATGTTATTTACAAAATAATTTCAAAAATTCTGGTGAATAGAATCAAGTCTTTCCTTGATTCAATTATATCGCCTTTATCATAATGTTTTTATTCCAAATAGACAAATTAATGGCAGCATCAATTTTTATTGCCCATGAGTTTTTTCACTCTATCAAAAAAAAAAGACAACTTGAGAATTATAGCTGAGTGGGATTTTATTGAGAAAGTCTTCACAAAGTTTTGACTTCCATAAAAAGTATATTGAATGGGTCATGACTTGCATCAAATCAGCTTACTATAAGATTCTAATTAATGGCACCCCTTCGACAACCATTTACCCTACGAGAAGCATCAAACAAGGTGATCCGCTCTCTCCACATGTTTTTGTGTTGTGTGTACTTTGACAAAAAAGGTGGATCTCAAGGCCTCTTGTCCTAGAAGCCAAACTGGGTTTCAGCTTATTAGGGGGGTCCTCACATTCCTACTTGGGTGCCCCCCTCATTAACGGTCGTGTCACCCAAGGACCTTTTAAAGAGTTAAAGGATAAAATAAGCCAGAAGTTGTCCGAATGGAAGAAAAACACCCTTTCTCTAGCTAGTTGTATTATTATGATTAACGCCACCATGAGCATGATGCTCCAATTCATCATGAGGTCTTTCGAAATTTCAAGAAACACTATGGGGGTGTTCTTTTTTTGGATTTTGAGAAGATGGAAAGTTGGTCAATGGAATTTTGATTCCTATTGATTAAGAATCTCATGTTCTATTTTCAGATTTATGTAGGGATTAAGAAAAGTTTATTTCCTAAGTAAGTGATACCCATCTCCTATGCGAGTAAATAACTTTCCCACCCTGGGGGAAAGTTGTCAACACTTGAATGGGACATAAATGCCCCTTGTAATAATGAATTTTTTTGACTAAAATGGTCATTTCCTTATTTACATGAAAAATAAAAGAACATGAGTAAATGCACTTACCTAAATAACTCTTTCCTGGAAAACACTTATTTGGGTAAGTGTATTTACCTGGATAAATAATTTACCGAAAAGCGAATGGAGCCTCTAAATGATTTAAATAAGATGAAGAGAAACTTCCTTTGGAAAAACAATAATGAAAGGAAGTCCATTCACCTAATTAGTTGAGATAGATCTAGTATGCACCCGGCAGCACCCCAAGAGATGGGGTGGTCATAGTAGTCTAAAATACCTCCTGTGGGTCAATGAGGCTAAACTAGCAAGCTTGCGTGGAAAGTTATTAATGATCAAAATAACTCGTGGATGAAAGTGGTTTCAAATAAATACCTTAAAAAAGAAGATTTCTGGAACTCCAAGACTACCAAAAACATATCTTGGGCTTGGAGGGGTGTTATTTAGTCGAGACATCTTCTCAAAAGAGGTACGGGTCGAAGGATCGGTAATGGAAATACAGTAAATTTTTGGGAAGATAATTGAGCTGATACCACCCCCTTTAAGAGGTCATAAACAAGAACTGAAGAACAACCCAAATAAAAATCTCAAAGTTGCTGAGATGATCGACTTTGAGAGAATTTAGAATTCAGGAATTAGTTCCCTTGGAGGTATGGCAAAAAATCAAAACAATCCTTCTCCCCTCAAGCCCCATGGCTGATAAATTGATTTGGAGGCTTGATCCTAGAGGAAAGTTTACGGATAGGTTGGCCTATACCAAAGCCAACCTCACCTCAAGGGGTTTAAGAGAGCCAAACCTATGGCTCAGCAAAATCTGGGGCCTCGTGTTACCCCTGAAGATTAAGCCAAGCAAAAGCCTTGCTTAGAAAGGATTTCCCATTGATGGTTCTTGCTCGATATGTAGGAAAGAGGAAAATGCAGATCACATTTTCAAAATTGCATCTATGTGAAACATGTTTGGATGGTTGCAAGTCAAAATGTATCCTATCCAAATAATAACCATCAAAAAGTTGTAGACTGGTGGTGCTCTCTTGACTCGGAGACTAAAAATTCCATGAACCGTCAAAAGGGAAAATGTGCTATTCTCCTGTGGTTTCTCTGGAAAACAGGAATATAAGCTCTTTAATGATAGATCTATTTCCCCTCTCCAATTGCTCTTGATCGTGCCTTGAGTCTATTCATGGAGATCCAACAGAGCCTTGGGTTAGGCAGTACGCAAGATAGAAACTTTACCTGGAGAAAAATTCACCTCACCAAAAGGGGAGGGGATCAAGATAAATTTTGACGCTTCTCGCATTGGTGAGGGTACGTGTGTTATTGCCTGCGTGGCCAGAAACAACTATAATGAAGTCCTCGAGGTTAAGGCTTATTATATGGGAATCACCATCAGTAACTTTTTTGAAGCTTGAGTGGCTTAGGAAGCCCACAATATGGCGCTAAACTTTGCCAACTCCCCTATTACTATTGAGGGTGATTCCCTCTTGATCATTTCTTGTATCAACAGGAACTCTATTCGGGATCTCTTATCGCCACATGTTTCGTGAAGCCAACAAAGCTACGGACTGGGCTGATCGGAAAATCTATTCTCGCAACACTCCCATCCATTTCTGCCCGCTTGACATCCCTGTTGATTTAGTTTCCATTTGTAGAGCGGATGCTGGGGGCCGAGCTACCCCGTTATGTGTAAGTTGTAACTCCTCCTGTTTCTACCAAGGAAAAAAACTATTTTAACTTAATACCATTGATTAAAAGCTTAGAAGTTAGAACCATAATCGGTTATTTAGCCAAAAGAGAGAGAGGGCTCTGAAGTTTTAACGATGGCAATTTAATAAGCTCCCCCTCACATGAGGAGCACGTTCAATCAGTGAACACGTGTCGGTCTGTCGATTAGCATATGAGACCGGGAATCCAGGGTTAAGTGATCTTCCCCTTGCAACAAACCAGCACCATTCATTTCAAGAGCTCTTTCTTGCTAATGTAGAGGCAGTAATTTTCTGTACAGTCTTGAATCTTTTCTCGTCTATTTACAATCAAAGACAAATCCATCATTCATTCATATATAAGACAATCACACGAGTACAAATCTTCAGCGCTTTTCCTTTTTTCCTTTTTTTTTTTTGGGGGGGGGGGGGGTGTCAGCAAATCATTGGCTGTGAAAAATGAAAACCAAATTCTCAACAAAGAAAAGAATTGAGCTTCCTGCTTAATCATTAAGAAAGAAATGCAGGTTACATAATCTTGGAAACATTATTAGGAACTATTTTCTCATAGAATAATCAATAAGGCAATAGCCAAAACTCTCTCCCCCTGGCTAATAACCAGACAACAATCCCATTCTAGGAACTACACATACATATGTTACATAATCGTCTCACTCTCACCTGTCGTCATTCACCATCCCATGCTCGTGTTACCAGAAAACAACACTAGCCACTCAACAGTTCTAAATAAGGCCGGTATAGGGATTGTAGGTTTGCACAGGCACACCAGAACCATATGGGTGGACCCCAGCTCCTCCATATGGATTACCAAAAGGATTTAAAGGCTGTTGCTGTTGTGGGCCCATCATCATCATCTGTTGTTGTTGTTGTTGCAACATGAAAGCCTGCCGTTGCTGGGCCATTGCTGAAATCTGAACGGAGGGTGGTGCAGACACGGCATTGGAGGCAAAGAATGGATCATGCGCTGGTTGTTGCATTATGGGTCCCGTCATTGGCATTGGCTCCCACGGATTGTAGCTGGCAGTTTGGTTAGCTCGTCTAATTGCATCATCATATAAGCTGTCCAACGTAAGTTTGTCCAGCCCTCCAGCCTTTTTAGCAAGTTAAAACATTAGTACAAAACTGATGGAACATCATTTTTTATGTGTATTCTTTTTTTTTTTTTTTTT